GTCAATTCACTTAAGTATTAATAAAAGTTTGGGGCAGGTGCTACACCCGGGGTATCCCCTAAAAATTAAAAAAAAAAAAAAATAAATCTTTCTACAATTAGTAATTATACTGGTTGGATATTTTTTTATTTGTATATAGTCATCTTCCTCTATAGTCACCTTCTATATAATCACATTTTCTTTATAAGCACTATTTTTTAAAAAATTATTGCCAATATATTTATTAAAAAAACTCTATATAATTACATTACTATTAAAATTTTATAATCATATTTTTTTTATATAAAACAAATAGCATGATTATAGAGAAAGATAACTATATATTAATATTGTAGTTAAAATATAAAGTGAAGTTAATAAAAAAAAAAAAAACAAATTATTTTTAGTACAATTTTTTTTTAATATTTAAATTAAAATAACTCAATAACTAATTAATCAAATTTGTTAAATTTTTTTTATTTTAATTTAGAAATTATATAAAATTAAAATAAAAAAAATTTATAAAATTTTATAAGATAGTTGCTAAGATATTTAAACTTAAATTTAAAAAAACTTTTACTTAAAAAAAATTTGTCTTTTTACTATTAACTTCACTCTATATATTGTAATTTTTTAGCCTAACACAGGTTATAATAGTATAGTTTTTTGTACAAAATAGTAAAATCTTTTCTAATTTATATTCTTTTTTATAAAATTTTTATTTTATTTTTTTTGAAGAATTTTTTTTTTTAGTTTTATAAATTATTTATTTATTTTTTTTCTTATTCTCTTTTTAGTTATAGTTTATAGTAAATCTAGTTTAGTTTGTAAACTAGTATAATGGGTTACACTTAAGTAGCAAAATAAAACCAAATAAAATTAGACATAGTATTGAAAAATTGTATAATAATAAGTTTAAAGCTTAGCTTTAGTTATAGTATATAATTTATCAAAGTTGATCAAATTACTGGTCGACCAAAAATTCATTGGTCAAACTGGTCTGGTCAAATTGGTCAAATAGTCTAGTCAAATTGGTTAAATAGTCTAGTTTATTAATTAAATAAATTTAGTATCCAAAATAAATATATATATATATATATAGTATATATTATATATATATACTATATATATATCAAACTTTTTTTGACAATTACTTGTACCAAATTCACAACAAACTTTTTTTTGAAAAAATTCAATAATTTTAAGATAAAACAGACCAGAAGAGATTTAGAAATCATAAGTTAGCATCTATTATTTAGAGATAGTTCTCATATGTTATCTGCTAGTAAACTTAGAGTTTATCACTTATTGCAGAAATAGTACTTGTCATTTAGAAGTAGTTCTTATATGCTACTTGCTGATAAGTTCAGAGTTTATTACTTACCAAAAAGAAAGCTTCAACATACTGATTGGCATTACAAGTTTTATTTTATTTTGGATAAAAAATTAATATACTCTTTAAAAGATAGTATAAGTAATATAATATTTTTTTTTTATTTTGTGCTGGTTTTCTCAAAATTTTCTTGAAAAAGTAGGCAAAACAGCTTACCCCCATCCAAAGATTAGTATTGTTTACACCTTCTATTTTCAGACAAACTCAGTAGATTGCAACCACATATTTGGTTTGTTGTTTTAATACAATACTACTTCACATGACAAAAATCGGGTTCTAGGTTAAAGAGATATCTGGAATTAGATGTGCTATTGTTAAAAAGAAAGAATTTTTGTTAAATTTAAACTTTACAATAGAGATATACAATTATTGTAATTGTTATATAATTTTTAAGCCTTGTATAGATTATAATAGTGTATTTATTTTTTTTTTCATTCTTCTTTTTTTTTAAAAGGTTTTTTTTGTTTTTTTTTAGTTTAGTTTTAGCTTTAGTCAGCTCAGTAGAAGCCTTTCTTTTTGTTTTTCTTTTTTTATATTTTATTATCTCTTCTTTTTTATCACCTTTATTTCTTTTTCTTTGTTTTATATATTTTTTTTTAGTATAGTTTTTTTTTTTTTTTTATATTAAAGCTTCCAAGTATTATGTATGAGGATTTTACTTTTTTTGCTCTTGGTGAAGAAAGGAAAATCTAAAGAGATTGGTTCTTGACAGGGCTAACAAAGTCTTCTACATCTTCTGAAAAGTAGTATGACAAATCACATTAGTGATTATTCATATAAAAGACCAAATAATACTAAACTTGCTATATGTGAATATTAGAGTAGATTTTCTTAAATATATTTCTTTTATCTTTTAATAAAAGTACCAACAAGAAAAAAAAAAAAAAAAAAAAAAAAACTATATATATGTTGTGCCTCAGACTAATGCTTGCTTCGGATCACAGCTAACGCATCTTAGATATAGATTTTTAGATGAGGTGGCTAACCTATCGATCGGTTATTACACACAGAAAAAAAATATATAGAATAAAAAGTATTATTGAAATTGAATGTGCTGAGAAAACTTAAACAGGAAAAGTATGCAGTGAAAATTTAGGCAAAAAAAAAAATGGTACATATAGAAAAAAGTACATATTAATTGGAAATAGAATGTGCTACAAAATTCGGGCAAAGAAAAGAATAGAAGTGCTGAAGAGGCCTAATGTAAAAAAATGCTCAGGAAATAAGACGACGCCAAAATAATTCAAAGATATAGAAAGCAAGAATAAAAAAAGCGTCCAAGTCAAAAAGTCTTATTTTACTCTCTTACTTTCGTCAAATTGCAGTTTAGAATAGCTTACGCACCTAACCTGATGATCTGAATCGGAGGTGCGTCAGCTGTGATCTGAGGCAAGCGTTAGTCTGAGGCACAACATATATACTGTATATATTTAAATATCCTTTAACCAATTTGACCAACACTGAACCCTTTGACCAACTGGTCAAATTGGTCAAACTGGTCTGGTCAAGCTTGACCATTGACCGGCCCATGCAAACCCTGTACATAATATAGTATCTAATAAAGTCATGGTAAAACTATTAAAGTTATAAACTAAAATTATTAAATTATATTATAAAACTATTATATATACAAATATATTTTTTTTATTAACAGTAAATGTTCGGTCCTAGCTTGGTTTGAACTTAGTCTAGGCCAAGTTTTCAAAGTTTAATCTTTAATATTAGTTCAATTTAAATGAACTAAGATAGTTAAAGTTTACGTCTAAACTTGGTATGAAACGAGTTTTAATTGAACTATTTAACATCCTTAATTCATTTATCAATTTACAGCTACAGTTATCAACTGTAGAGCGAATATTTCAAACCTATATACAATATATATAGAGCATGCCCAAAAAATTTTCTGTGCCCCAACCCTACAAACCCTACATAACACAAAATTTTTCAGAGTTCTTGGAGTAGTTGAACAAACAGACATGATCACATAATATTATTTATCATAATCCGTAGTAAAAACAAAGTATCCTTTCGCTTCGCTCCAGACAAAAATAGAAAAAATGCTTATTAGTATTAATTAATTTGTCAAATTGGTCTTGAATTAAATTATTGTTTGGGGCTAACCGTTACCTTAGTTTTATCACATGACAATTTTCACTTTTACTTCGGCACAATATTAACGTTATTAATCGATTTTTCGACTTAGCCGATCTATAGATATAATGTCAGAATTTCTTTGCATTCAACAAATATATGTAAAAATTAGCAAATTAGAATAGAATTTTTAATTACATAAATAATTAAATTATAGTATTATAAATTTTTATTTTCAATAATCCTATATAAATCAACTTCAACTTTCATCACTGCTTGTTGCACATCATGCATTGTAGCATTAACCATTTTTGATGCAAAAACTAATATTCTTTCATAATCTTCATGAAAACTACCAGTTAGCTCAACGTGTTTAAAGAAAGCTGACTCGGTGCGATTCTGAAACATTTGATACGCGACATACTTTTCACCAAATGTAAGATTCGGTTTATCATTATCATTCTCAGGATTTCTATACAAAAATGTCGAATATCTTTTACGTAAATGTTTCATTGGATCTTTTGAAAACGAACAAGATTTTGAAGTTGATGAATGTTTGCCTGGAACTTCAACACAAAAATTCAATTCTTGAATTTCCTTTTCAATTGGTTCAATAAAATCATCGATGTTGTTTTCTAAGTTTTTGATAATTTTTTTGTTACGTTCTTTCTCTTTTTGCATCATATAAACCTCCCGTACTGTAAAGTTTTGTGAAGTAGATCTAGTTACATCGTCAAGAGTTTTTAATTCGTTTTTTAATTTGTCATTTAATTTGTCTTTGTGCATTTGATCTTCAATTACTGGTACGATAGTCTCCGAAAGTTCGCGAAACGGCTTAGATAATTGTTCCATTTCTTAGTATTGTTTATTAAATTATGTAAGTTATTGAAATCCAAAAAATAAGAAAAAAAAAAAAAACAAAGAATTACCTTCAATCCGTTTTGCACGGTTTATGTAGGCAGTATTTTGTGTATCCTTAGGCGTTTGTGGCCATATGATAAAATGAAATAAAAAAAAGATTTAGATAAAAAAAAATATGATTGATAATAAAGTAGAAAAATATCGCAAAAAGGTTATATGAATTCAAATCGATG